GATGGCATCTGTAAATATGGTTCTCTTATTAGCTAATGAATAAAGCACTGTTGGCCAATAGGAAAGCAAGATAGGCGGGACTAGGAGACAAGGAGGATTCAAGGGAGTAGTAAGGAGGAGTCAAGATGGAGAGTCTGGAGAGAGCAGGACGCCGGCCCCACTCTCCGGTAAGATGAGACCATGTGGAAACACTTAGATTAATAGAAATGGGTTAATAATTAAGACAGAGCTAGCCAACAGCATAATATCAAATACAGAGTCTGTGTATGTTAATTGGGGCTGGCGTGGCGATGGGACCAGACCAGCAGAAAAACCTTACTACTAACAGGTTGCGAACTATAGACCACACTAAGTGTCTGCACACAGTAAGTCCTTGGGAAAGCTCAGCCTTCCTGCCAGAGTGCTTCATGGCTGCTGAGCACTCCACAGATATGACAGAGCACCTCACATTTGTAATGGCAAATTGAAACATGTCAGAGAAAGCAGGTTTTAGTCTTATTTCATACATGATCCTGACTAACGTATATAAATCATAGGAACAAAAAAAAAAATTCAAGATTGATTACATCTAGCTTGTAAATCCCATGATTTACAATGTTAGTGGCTTATTGGGAAATTCAAGATTAATATGTAATTTTTAGCAGTTCTGGTTTCTTTTCTTTTTTGCATAGACAGCTCTCTTAGGTGCATGCATCTTGTCTCGCATACTTCAAACTGCTCTGGTAGAAAAAATCCAACCAGGCCTGGAACTCATTCATGCCTTCATTTCCATTAACAACACACACTACGTAAGCCAGGTCACCAGGAGTGAGTCAGAATTAATAGCCAACGTTTGCTTTGGGGGTGGAGGGCGTCGCCATCCTCACAAGAATGGCCCTAGCCTCAGCTTGTCGTCATGGTGACACACTTTCATTTCCAGGTGAAGGAAAGCAAACGAGCCACATCCTTGGAGCAGCCCCTGTCCTGTCCTCCTCACAGCCACTTGAGCCCATTCACACAAGGGGCCAAGTTGCTGCAGGACCAGGGGCTGCTCGAAGCAGTTTGCACGGGACTTATGGGGGATGACATCAGCTGCCAGGAGCTCCGCCTTAGTGGACCCGAGCAGACAAAAGCTCTAGGAGTGACTGGGAGCCATACTCTTCTCCCAGGTTCTAGCACGCAATCTTCAGACCTGTCTGTAGGCAAGAAAGAGCCAAGTCTTAAAACGTAGTGGGTTGGGCCAAATGGCTGGGTATCCAGGCAGGGCGTCCTGCAGCATCAGACAGGAAGATGGCCCAAGAACCTGTCGGGTTCCATTCTGGTTCAGAAGTCTATGCTGCCATCTATATAATATGTACCCAATAGACTGAAGCTTCCTAAGCCAACCATTAGTGACAAACACACAACCCCCTTAAGTACCAGAAAACAGAATGGCCCGGAGAGATTCCTAGGAGTAGAGCGTTGCTTGTGTCTCGGGTCACACACAATGCCACACACCAGGCTCAAACCCTAGAGTTCAGGCTCTGCTACAAGCCTGGAGCAGGCTGTGTGAAGACAACCCTGTTTACCTAGCTGACCAAAGGCTGTACTGCTGGAGCCAGGCTGGCTCACGGTGGCTGTGCTCACAGAGTGGCCTTACAGCCTTGTGGCCCAACTCAATGACCAGTCTGTTACATATTCTCAGATATTTTGATGTGGCATGTAAATCCCAGTGCCAAGCTTGGCAGGGAACTCTAATCCCTCAAATGTTTCTTGTTTCTGACCTCAGAACGTCAAGACTCATGGTGCTCTCCACAAGCCGGGGCACCTCCAGGGAGGGCTTCACTCCCCACAGACCAACCACACATGGTTTATTGCCAAGAAACAAAGAGGGCCCAGGTTACGTGCTGCCAGAGACGGGTCTACAAGAGTGCTGGCTGTTCTTGTAGAGGCCCAGGGTTCAATTCCAGCCACCCACAACTGTCGGTAACACTAGTTCCGAGGATCAGACACCCTCTCCTGGCCTCCAGGAGCATCAGACACTCAAGCAGTGCGCAGACATACACGCAAACAAAACACCACACACACACACACACACACACACACACACAAAGCAAAGCATAAAAACCGTAGGCTAACAAGGAAGAAGGAGACTTCATTTGGGAAGATTTCCCATCATTATCAAGACCTTCCAGAGGCGGAGAGAACTGTTTGAGGCCATCCATGAGATGGGAAAGTCCTCCTTTAGTATAAAGAGGGGAGAACTCATGGGCTCCATCACAGACAGAGTCAGGCTAAGCCCACGCTAGGACAAATACAGTAAGTACAATATGCTGTGCTGCTCAGGAGGGCTCAGGATGCTTCCCGGCTGACCCGCCACACTGCGATGCCTTATCTTCGTTTGGACTGGATGTAGACGCACCTGGGAGACACATCCCTGGGCATGTCCGTGTGGGGGTTTCCAGAGACGCCTAACTGAGATAGAAAGACTCACCAAATGTGAGTGGCACCACATTCCAGACTGAATTGAAAGGGATTTAAGTTCTGGCAACCCTCCCCCCAGGGCCTCTGCACCCTGGTGCACTGAGACAGACGTAAGGAGTCACAGGCCAAGTCATGCCCCGCCTCACTCCAACTCCATTACACTTACCCAGCCATGACAGATACCACGCTCTCAAAACATGGGCCAAAATAAATTGTTCCTCCTACATGTTGCTTTTTGCCAGGTATTTGGTTACAGCAACAGAGCGGTGACCTACAGTCAAACGTGTCAGAGCTGCGGAGTATGTGGCCAGCCCCCGGCTCCCTCCCAGAAAATGTACAGCCAGGTGGGCCTGTACGCCGCTCTGGGGTCACGTCAAGAGCTCCAGCTGATTCAGTTTAGAACAGACAAACGCCTATGACGATGACACATCCAATTATAGTCGGTGGCACCTGCCCTCCCAGGGGCTGGGCTCTTCCCGCACCAGCCCCGCAGCCTCCAGTGCCGGCCCAGCTCCTCTGAGACCTCAGCAGTCAGCGTCTCCATTTTATTTCCCCCACTCACTGGGCAGACACCGCCCTCCCCAGTTCTCTGAACTCTGACCTCCCTGGAAAGGCGTCATGGGCCTTGACCCCCAGTCTAACCGCCCTGCACTACACCGAAGGAGGCTAGTCACTACACACCAACAGCCTGAGCTTGAAACACCACACCTCTCCCTATTACGGCTGTCCACAACTTCCCTGTCCAAACACCCTCTGTCACATCTTCCTACACACATCCGCCAGGCTCCACACCGTTCCCGGGGTTTCCCACCTCTGGAGATGGCCTGTCTAGCTCTACCTACAACTTGTATTGATTGATCCTGTGAGTTCCTAGTCAATGTCACCTCCTCTGGGAAACTTCCTTAATCCTCTGACGACGAGCCTGTCTATCCTATCCGATCACCTAGTGCCTTCTGCACATTTCTGTGCTGAATATCACACTGGATGGCAGCAATGGTTCCGATACTGGTTTCCCCACAGACAATGCTTCGAGGACCTTTGGGGAAGGGAGCATGTTTGGATCTGTGGACCAAGACTGCACAGAGGGCCACATAAAGAAGAGACGCTGACCTGATCATCAGTCTGAAGGCAAGAAGAAGCTGGATGCTGGAGGTTAGGCCCTGCTACCGCAGCTGGGTCCTCTGAACACTGAGATGCCCATGTGTCAGCTTCACATCTACTGAATAAGGAGGTGGGACTATTGGACACACATGGTCTTGCTAATGACCTTTCTAGCACCCAGAGTATCTCTCCCTCTCTTAAATAAAGTGTGTGTGTCTGTATGTGTGTGTTGGGGTGGGTGTGTGGGTGGGTGTGTGAGTGGCCATAAAGGTCAGAAAAAGCATCTTTAAAATTTTTTTTTCTTTTTTCTTTTTTTCCAAGACAGGGTTTCTCTGTGTAGCTCTGGAGCCTGTCTTGGAACTCACTCAGTAGACCAGGCTGGCCTTGAACTCACAGAGATCCACCTGCCTCTGCCTCCCCAGTGCAGATTAAAGGTGTGTGTCACCACCACCTGGCTGGCATCTTGATGTTGTGGTGCATACCTATAATCTCAGTTTTGAGAGGCAGAGACAAGACGCTCAGGAGCTGAAGACCAGCATAGGCCACCACCTAACCACTCAATAAACAAATGAAGGAAAAGAGGGAGCTAGGAATGGGAATGGAAGGGGAGAGGGAATGGGTTATTAATACAACAACAAAAAAAAAAAAAAAACCCAACACAATAAAGCCACCCTGTGGCTGGAGAGACGGCTCAGTCAGTGAAGTAAGTACTTGCCTTACAAGCACAGGGACACCAATTCAATACCCAGGACCCACAGGAAGAAAGCTGCAGTGATGGCGTGCTTGTGCTGGGGAGGCAGAGGCAGGTGGGTCCCTGGACGCCTCAGCCAGCCAGCCTAGCCTAATTGGTGAATTCTGGATAGACTCTGTCTAAAAGACAACAAAAGTGGATGGGACCAGAACAACACTCCAGACAGCCAACTTTTTCTTATGGTCTCCACATGCACCTATCCATGTATAACACAGGCACACACACACACACACACACACACTCACATACACTCACACGCGCACACACACGCACGCACACACATGCACACTCACTCACACATGCACACATAGATGCACACACACTCATACACACATGCACACACAGACGCACGCACACACTCACACACGCACACACACTCACTCACATTCACTTACACATGCACACACAGACGCACACACACTTACACACACTCATACACACATGCACACACTCACACACACTCACACACATTCACACGTGCACACACACACACACACACACACCGCTTCTCAAAACTCAGCACTGTCACTCACCCTTAGTTGCCCTCTGTTGGAAAAAGTTCTGATCTCCCAATTGCACAAGACAAAAGTTTTGGTATAAAGCTAAGACACCTCACAAAGACTGAACTACACACACACACACACACACACACACACACACACACACACACACACGGCTGCCATTTACAAAGCCGAGTGGCCGTTACCTGGTGACCCCGTACTCTGGGGGTGGCTGGTACCTCAGGACAGCCACTTCTGTCCTGGCAGGCTGAGGTGCCGGGTAAGGTGTGACCATGTCGTGGAGTACTCCAGGGCGCTGGTCACTGTAGTAAAGCCCGTGGTCTTGGTTCTTGCTGCCCGGGGACATCACTGGCTTGGCCTTGAATGGGTATTCGGGAGGAGGGCCGCGGGGGTCTAGCGCTTTGCAGGCAGGCTGTGCAGGGGACGGCCCTCCTCCTCCGGCCTTGACGCCCTTCCCGGGTCCCGAGCTGGGGAGGTGTTGCTTAGCCCCGTTCCTCTCCAGCGACAGCTGCATGATCCTCTCGCTGAGGGATCGGACGTGGCCCTGCTTCAGCTCTCTGAGGCCCTCATCCTTGTGAGCCTGTCCACTGTTGGCCCGGCTCACTGTGGGCCTCCCCTCCGTGCGCGACTTCTGACTGGTGCCGGCCATGTAGTAAGTGTGGCCGAGGGGCCCCTGTCCCTGCTGCGGCTGCGGCTGCTGCGGCTGCTGCTGCTGCTGCTGCCCCCTGAAGAACTGAGACTGGGCCTTGGCCTCCTCATATGTGGGCAGCTCCTCGTTGTTCTGCTGAGGCTGAGTGGCGCGAACCTGCTTCTCCATCACCGTATTGTCCCCCTGGTGCTCTTGACCCTGCGGCTCCTGGCGGGCTGACTGGAAGACCATTTGTGGGTCTTCTTGAGTGAGGGTCTCCGTGGAAGAACAGTGGTGGGCGGCGTGGGCTGGCCCTGCACTCCCCGCGGCCTGGTGCTGGATGGCCAGCAGGTTCATGGTCTCCGTCGGGGTGCCATAGCGCAGTTGTTCCTGGATCAGGCGCTGTAACACTGTGCCAGCAGCCACGTCCTCAGAACCTCTCATTTCCACCTCTGCGATCCTCGGGAAGCTCGGGGAGTGGAAGCTGGAGAGAGGGTCCTCCACTGAAAGACAACAGGAGCCGAGCTCACAGGCTGTCCCCACGAGAGTGTCATTCAATGACACCACCCTCCCTCGGCGCCTCGGAGTTCCTGAGGCCCCGCCCCCTCCATCCCTTTCCTGGGTCCTGTGTGATGGGACCTCCCTTCCCTAGTACAGTCCTTCTCCAGAGCTGCCCTCAGAAGGCAGCCACATTGGCTGCCCCGTGCTCCAAACACTGCGCACACTCTGAGGAGTAACCGAATCCAGCTTTCTAGAACATTCAACCAGCTTGTTTACTCTCTGTTTAAAATGTTCTTCCAATTTCGCACCAAGGCCACGGTCTCCTTCCTGGCCCCAGTCAAGCTCCTGCCTCTTCTGGTTTGAACTTCCCCCAAGCTCTTCCCGAGTCCCCTTTCTGCCTCCACTGAACAAAATGTCCACTCTTGCCTTCAACTCTGGAGTCCCACGCCACCTCTGCAATGGTGGCTGATGGCAATATACTTCCAGTACACCTTCCCCATCTCCCGGACCTGCGTCTTGTTCATGTCTTGACTGTTAAGAAATTTCATACTGAATGACAGTAAGAAAGCAGAGGCATCGTCCGAACATGCTCTCTGTCCAAATCTACCCCACGAACTGCCCTCACCAGGGGAGGCTCTGCTAACAGCTGTGGGGACATTCCACACAGCCCCTAAAACCCTTGCTTCCGACCTCCTCTGCCTCTGAGCCACAAAATGTTCATTGTTTCCCTCCCTCTAGCAGAGACCACTATGGTCTACACAGTCAGTTCCAAGCTAATCAGGGCTACACAGCAAGACCTGAAAAAACCAAACTGACAATTGCAACAAACAATGAACATCCCAAGGGAAGACGCCATCTCATTCACCTAGCAAGCATGACCCTCCTCCTGTCCAGGACACTGTGACGTGTTGGAGTTCGGGGCCTAAAGGCAACAAAGCATCTCCCTTTTGCTCCCCAGGGAGGGTGAAGCCCTCCATGGGGGTCTTCAAAGTCTGTCATGTCATCTGGAGCAGGGCCCAGGCCCTCCCCATGTGTCTAGGCTGAGGGAGTGTCCCTCTATGTAGAACGGGCTCCCAAAGTCCACTCATATACCAGGGTTAAATACTGATCCTCTACCAGAGGCCCCATAGACTGCCCAGTCCTCCCAACTAACACCCATGTTCAGAAGTCTGTTTACCAGCTGTCAGACTGGGGTGCACGAGCTGGGGTCAGCTGCTTCTGTGGATTTCCCCAGCCAGCATGGTCTTGACCCCTAACTTTTTGTAACCCACTGAACTCAGTGCTTCCAGCTGGGATATTGACTGATCTAGTGGGGTGGCCTTGTGCAGGTCCCACAGCCGCTGTGAGTTCAAGTTATGGCACAGCCATATCATGAAACAGCATTTCACAGCACTCCCTCCGTTCTCCAGCTTACGATATTTCTGTCCTCTCTTCCACAATATTCTCCAAGCCTTGGGGTAAGGGGAAAGGTCACTGGTATTTTGGGACAGTCTCTCACTGGGACCCGGGGATCAATAACTAGACCAGTGAGTTAGGGACCCATCTCTCTCCACCTCACGAGGGCTGACAAGCACGTCCCACCACGTGGGTAGGTGACCTGGTGCCTGGATGACAAGCACTTAGCAACTGAGCTATCTATCCCAAGCCCAAGCGGTCTTATTAGCATCATGGTACAACATGAATTATATACATCTCCTGGCCTGAGACAACTCTTAGCTCAGGATGGCAACTTAAGGCTAGAGAATAAAGAAAAGTCTGAAAGACAGTATCCTCTTTCACCTTCAAGGATACAGTCCAAGACCTCAGGGGAATCCTGAAACCAAGAACAGTGTCAAATCCAGGAAATGCCACGTGCCCGTGTGTGTGCGTGTGCGTGTGTGTGCGTGTGCCCATGTGTGTGCGCGCGTGTGTGTGCGTGTGCCCATGTGTGTGCGCGCGCGCATGTATAAAATTAACACAAATTACAAATAGCAAGAGATTATCCGTAATAGCCAATAGTAAATAAATGTTATGCAATGTTCTGCCAAGAGTATTTAAGACTTACAAACTATTATTCAGACTGCCATTGGCCTTAGGTTAGCAAACTGGTGAAAAGTGAAGCCCGGCACAGGGTTACCTATTGCCGAAGAGCTGAAAATGAGAAAGTCTGCCCCTCGCTGCTCTCAACACACCGACAGCAGCAAAAACTTACCACCTTTCCCCCTCAACACACCGACAGCAGCAAAAACTTACCGCCTTTCCCCCTCAGGCCTCCAGTTGCCTCTACTGTCAAAGGAGATGCTTCATGCCTCCCGGAATAGAGCTGCGCGTCTGGGGAGAAGTAGGCGGGCTCTTCTAGAATCTGCACAGGGCTGCTGGGGCTGTAGCAGATGCGGGGAGGGGCTGAGAGAAGGAAGATGTGTGTGTTAGTGTCAGTCACATGCCCTTCCTGTGTGGCGCACGTCACCCACACGGCAGCTCGCAGGGAGTCTGCCTGTTTCATTCATAAAGTTCCAAGGCTACTTCTCACAACTGGCACAAACGTGGCCACCCACCATGGTGACCCACAAGCCTTCGAGACCCGATGAGTACAGGCACAAAGCCGTCACCCAGCGGCCTGCCCAGCATCCTCTGTGCAACAACAAGAGGCATGAGCTGTGCCACGGTCAAGGTAGAAGGCAGGAAGGAGGTGGCGGAACACACCAGAAAAAGAAAGGTGAGGAGAGCAGTTGTCTGTCCATAAATACGACAGGAGAGGAGGCCACGCTGCCAGGCCACGTGTCAGCTGAGACACAGCGTGCCCGGTCTCTGTGAAGTTTCTGAGTCTCATGTTGCAGAAGGACCAGGGGCTTGGGCCTGGGCCTCAGCCAAGAAATGGCCATTCAGCTAGCTACACGCACGCACGCACGCACGCACTTAAACTCGATGCTACTTTTGGACACACACGCTACTGAACATGAGCCCCACCTCAGGGTTACGGACAGCACATTTGCCATCTGTGACTCTGGCCACTTTCCCTTCCTGCTCTCTACATGGAAACCAAGATTAACATTCTGCCATTTGTCTCCACTTTCTCTAGAGACCCATTTTATCATTTATTAAAATTCCTGCCTGCCTGCCTGAAAGATAACTCCATTTTGGAAAAGAAAAGAAAAAAAATTTTCAGAAATGGTTTAAACCAGGCACCTGAAATCCCCACTATGTTTTGCACAAGATGGGAGCTACTAGTGATTCACAACACCCAAGGGCCAGAGGCAGGAATAGAGCCCCTCTCCCTGAGTCATCGCACTTCACAGGTAAAATAGCATTCGTGTGTGCTCACCAGATCATAGGCACGTCTGGCCCAGAAAGATAAAATTAGGATTTCCACGGCTGAAATACTTATCTTGTAAATTTGAAATAAATCTAGTTGGGACTCTCACTAAGAGATGAGCATGCACTAAGCATGAAAGATACATTGTACCAAGAGCAGCCTAAACCCGCAGTCCTAATGCCGGGGGCATCTCCTTCCGCAGCGCCCAGTGGGAACCCTGGGAGTCCGGAAAAGAGAACTGAGGCTCCCTCCTGCTCCTCATCTGTCACACCTATAAATCCGGAAGGTTCTGCACAGCTCTGCTCTAAAGTACAGTCCCCACCTCGTTCCTACCTGCACACGAGGGGAACAAGGCACAGGCTAGGGTAGTTTTCAAACCCCAGCACAGGAGGGTAGAACCCAGGCAAACTCTGCTCTGTGTGAGCATCTGTGTGTGTGTGTGTGTGTGTGTGTGTTCTGTGTGTCTATGTGTGTCTGTGTGAGTATGTGTGTGCATCTGGGTGTGTGTGTCTGGGTGTGTGTGAGTGTGTGTGTTCTGTGTGTCTATGTATCTCTGTGTGTGTGTGCATCTGTGTGTGTGAGTGTGTGTGTATCTGTGTGTGTGCACGTGTGTGTGTGTGTGTGTCTATGTGTGTAGTCCTGAGGACTGAACCCAATGTCTTGGGCATACCAGGAAGTATTTTTACCACTGACTGAGATATATTTCTTGCTTCTTACAATATTTTTTTTTTTTTATTTTGATAGAGGGTCTTGCTAAGTTGCCTAGGCTGGTTTGGTTTTAAACTCAATTCAACTCTATAGTTTAGGAAACCTTGAACATGCAATCCCTCTGCCTCTGCCTCCAGAGTAGTTGGAGCTGCAGGCATATATCACCAGACTAATACAGGCTGTCTTTTACAAAGCTGTTAAAATGACTCCGATATGCAGTGAATGTTAGGGTCCCAAAGCTAGAGGAAAGTGAGACCCATCAGGGAAGAAAATAAACCACAAAACACCACCACCCACCCCTACCCTGCAAGCTCACTCCGTGTAGGGGTTGGAGTCAAGAGCACATGTGCTCCAATCAAAGGGTTGTGTTTTCTTAAAATTGTGCTGAGTCAGGAGTGGCGTGGGGTAGCATGGCGTTTAACAACTTTACAGGCTATTTTCTAGTATTGTCTAGTCATGTGATTAAGAGACTGAGCTCTGAATACAATAAAAGCAATAGAGTATATACAAATGCATGTAAGGAGAGAGAGAATGTGTGCACTTTTAATATAGCTCTCACAATGAACTTAGCCGTCACAGCCACAACAGCATTCATACCAATCACGTTTCTCCGTGGATAGCCAAGTAGGAGTATGCCAAACCATGGAAGAGCAGACTTTAAAGGAACCTGTGCTTAGATGATCTCCAAAACACACTGCCTTTTACTACATGGTCTCCAATGAAAGAACTAGCACACGCATGCGTGTACGCGCACACACACACACACACACACACACACACACACACAAAGACACTGTGCCCAGCGATGACCAGATGTCTATACCAGATGTCTATGGTCACTCAAGACATCTTTCATACATATACAGACATGAAAGGCAAGGAAGTCCACAGATGAGAGGTCCAGGTAGTTCTATTCCACTCGAGCAATAGACAGTGCAGTTATCCAGCACTGACCCTGCCTAAGAAACCAGAGTCAACACGGCACCAGGAAAATGGCTGTGGTTTCGTCTCAGCCTGGACGGGATTCCTAGGTCAGACAGCAAATGTTTACATGGTCTTGGGATTCTGACACATGTTCCTGGTCCTTCTTGCCCATTTTACTCCACTGACTTGCACAAGGAATTTCTCTAGCAAAAATCTATTCTATTTTCTTAAGCAAATGTCAGACCAAGGATTTTTGAACTAAGGACTTGGAAGCAGATGCACAGCTGAGCAGAATGCTGTTTGCTTTGCTGCTACCTCCTTACAGGGAGCAGGGGCTGCAAGAAGCCACAAAAGCTGTCCAGACACCACTGCCACCCAGAAGGCCCCTTTAAGGTCTGGCTCAGACCCAGGGACCCACAAGTAGGGAGACCAAGGTCCTCTCACGGTTTGCTAGCTCAGCAGCATCATGGCTGTGTGGAGGGGCACCCGAAGGGCTTCCACACAAGGCCCCTTGGGCTAAGAGAGTGACTTAGAGTTGGTGACCTCTGGTAAACCAGACCCTCTGCTGAAGGTTTTGGAGGCAGGGCCGAAACACAGGAAAGGAAGCCAAGGTCAGCATGGGGTACCAGGTCTCTGGGCAGGTGGTCTAGGGAGGCAACTGTCTTTTCTAGCGTGCTCAATACAAGTTGATGCTCTGAAATCCGATGGAGTTTAATATTTCCCCACACCTACAAGGCCCCTTTCACCAAGAGCCTTTCCTTTCCGTAACAAAATCACAAGCCACAGAATCCTGCCGCCCACACACACTTCAGAGCTTTGGGGGCACTGGAAACGTGTGTATGTCCCTCCAAGGTTCTGGATCGTTCCTTTCTTTGTGACTGTCTGTTAGGCCTGCTGGTGGTGCGACCCGGCCAAAGCTTTTTCTCTCACTAACGGGAGATGATCAGGGGCCTCACTGTTGAAGAAAAATGAATTGGGGTTAAACTAAAACCAGCTTTCTAGGGGAGGAAAAAGGCAGGGCAGAGGGCTGTAAGCAGTATCGCAACTCCGTTCCCATGGTAACCGGAGGCCTCTGAGAGCATCAGCATCTGTCACCATGCCAACTGAGCAGACTCAGAAGTCCCCTTGAGGGTTAAACTCTAGTCATCGGTCATGGTGTCACCTCACACACACACACACCCCACACATACAACACACACACACACCACACATACACCACACACACACACCACACATACACACCACACACACCACACACACCACACACACCACACACACACCACACACACATACACACACACCACACACACACTAACCACACACCACACACCACACACACACACCACACACACACACACACCACACACCACACACACACCACACACACCAACCACACACCACCCACACACACACCACACACACACACACACCACACACACACACACACACACACACACGTGCGCGCGCTAGGACTCCCCTCTTCTGGTCCCTACCCACACCCCACCTCTTTCATACACAACTCTGGTCTATCATGTTGAAGTCAGACTTGCTTTGGTTCCCAAGGCTGTGTATCCTTAGGCCCCTCCTCTGGCTGGCAGCATCCCCCCCCCCATCCTGTGAGCATGTCACCTTCATCCTCCAGTGCTCCCCCATCCCACACCTCCAACTGCTCTAAGTTCTCAGTTAGCTCACTCTTTAGGCTTACTTCCTCTAGAGCGCCTCCCCTGAGCTGAATTGGCCCCCTACCCCCTTTCCTAATCCCCCAACACACACAGCCTCCCATCGGCCACCACAGAAGTCATGTATGGACGACTTAGCACTTAACTTCACAGTCAGGACTTGGAGACAGCGCTGCTTAAGGTGAGGCGCTGCTACCACCCTCGGGAGATGGCCAAGCCTTTGAGGGCAGGCTGTGCACTTGTTAAGCATATTCTCTGACTGCACAGAGAATATAGCAGGGTTCTCTGGGACTCTCAGCACCACACAGCTGAGAGGAAAAGTTAACCATCCCTCTCTGAGTGGCCTTGGGGTGTTCCGGATAGTTCCTTGCACCCTGGGCTCCCTAAGACACAGGAACGCTTTCTGTCCCCTCTGCAGCTAATACTGGGGCTCTGGGGTCTGCAGGCCACAGGCCCATTCCTCCAAGATGTGATAGCAAGACAATTCCCAGATGTCACCAATGTGCCAGACTTCCTGTTACATATCATCCGAAGCTTCCCATGCACCTGGAACCTGCTTCACTGCCAGCATACCCTAGCTCCTCTAACTTTAGGAGACATTTCAGCCACCACAACCAACTCCAGAGCTAATACCTCACCTTCTGAAGGGCTGAGGAATTGCTGAGTGTGCCAAATGCTCGCAGTTGAACCTAGTGACCTGGCACCTGGTCCCGGCAGGACTGGAGGTTCCCTGGGGTGTGGAATAGCCCTGTCAAGGAGATGCAGGCCTAGAAACACTG